AATGGAACAGACTTGCATCACGTGACTGCGGCTTCCACGGCGGTCACGTAACGTCACGTGACACGGGAGACGTTATATTTTATACGTATTAGTTTCAATATAATTATATAATGAGCCTTTAACTTTTTAAATTGTGTATATGTTTATTAAATTAAAAATATAAGTGAGTTACTACCCGCTAGCCACTGAAGCTGCAACTACTAAGCAACTAACCAACAATAGATAACTTCTTTGGATCTAAAAAAAACATTTTAAATTAGTTGACTTACTTTTAAAATTGAAAATTGTCCCTGAAGTAGCTGCCGGCTTCTGATCCGCCGTCTTTTTGAAAATATTGCGGTGCATTCTGGGTAATTTTTGACCAAGGCTAGTGTGACAGTGAGCGTTCTGTCACAATGTCCCGATTGATCATGCGCCCTGGCTACTTGGCCAGGGGGATGTCCCTTTGGCTGACTGGTTAGAGCGTATGACTTTCACCCGGGAGTCTGGGGATCGAATCCCGCCCGGGCCCTGGTTTCTCCACCTTGCCACACTAGGCTACAAGACACCTCCCATGTATCCTCGCTCAGCTAGCTAAACGGCTAACAAATGGAGAACACATACCTCGGTAGAACATGAACATTGGAACACGTCTTGGCAGCTCCCGATGACGTATCTCCTAGGCAACCGGGGCGGAGCCAAGACATCAAGGCTAGGTTCCTTGGCATTGAGAAACACCCACTGTCTCCTCCAGCTGACTAGTACTTCCTGATTCAGGCACATCTGAGCTCCCCGCCAGTACAACTTACAACACGTTAATTCATAGACCACTGCAAATGTATTGTTTAAATGAGTGTTCCATACCTTAAATGCTCATACTTAACTTGCTCTTTTCACAGTGCCACTAATCACAGAACCAGGAGCCATGTAGAATGTTTTGCTTTTCAGGTCTTTACAACATTATGACACATCACTAACAACAGTATCATTTAAACTCCATTAAGTCATCAAGGTCAGAGACGTCGTCGTCGCTTATCCGGGTCCGGGTCACGGGGGCAGCATCCCAACTAGGGAGCTCCAGATCGTCCTCTCCCCGGCCACCTCCACCAGCTCCTCCGGCAGGACCCCAAGGCGTTCCCGGACCAGATTGGAGATGTTACCTCTCCAAAGTGTCCTGGGTCGACCCGGGGGCCTCCTGCCGGCAGGACAAGCCCGAAATACCTCCCCGGGGGGCGTCCTGGCCAGATGCCCGAACCACCTCAACTGACTCCTTTCGATCTGGAGGAGCAGCGGTTCTACTCAGAGTCCCTCCCGAATGTCCGAGCTCCTCACCCTATCTCTAAGGCTGAGCCTGGCCACCCTATGGAGGAAACTCATTTTGGCCGCTTGTATCCGCAATCTCGTTCTTTCGGTCATTACCTAAAGCTCATGACCATAGGTGAGGATTGGGACGTAGATCGACCGGTAAATCGAGAGCCTGGCTTTCTGGCTCAGCTCCCTCTTCACCACGACAGATTGGCTCAGCGTCCGCATCACTCCAGACGCTGAACCAATCCGCTTATCGATCTCCCGATCCCTCCTACTGTCACTCATGACCAAGACCCCAAGATACTTAAACTCCTCCACTTGAGGTAGGACCTCTCCCCCGACCCGGAGTTGGCGAGCCACCCTTTTCCGGTCGAGAACCATGGTCTCAGATTTGGAGGTGCTGATCCTCATCCCAGCCGCTTCACACTCGGCCTTCTCCAAATCCACAAAACACATGTGGATTGGTTGGGCAAACTCTCATGCCCCCTCCATCACCCTTGCAAGGGTATAGAGCTGGCCCACAGTTCCACGGCCAGGACGAAAACCACATTGTTCCTCCGCAATCTGAGATTCAACTATCGATCGGACCCTCCTCTCCAGTACCTTGAAGTAGACCTTTCCAGGGAGGCTGAGGAGTGTGATCCCCCTTAGAACACACCCTCAGGTCACCCTTCTTAAAGATGGGGACCACCACCCCAGTCTTCCACTCCACAGGAACTGCCCCCGATGACCACGCAATGTTGCAGAGACGTGTCAACCCCGACAGCCCTACAAAATCCATAGCCTTGAGATACCCAGGACGAATCTCATCTGCCCCCAGGACTCCGCCACTGTGTAGTTGTTTGACTACCTCAGCAACTTCTGCCCCTGAGATCGGACAGTCCATCCCCAGGTCTCCTGGCTCTTGTTCTTCCTCGGAATGCGCGTAGGTGGGATTGAGGAGCTCCTCAAAGTATTCCTTTCACCGTCCAACTATAGCCCCAGTTGACGTCAGCAGCTCCCCATCCCCACTGTAAACAGTGTGAGCGAGTTGTTGCCTTCCTCTCCTGAGGCGCCGGACAGTTTGCCAGAACCTCTTTGGAGCCGATCGATAGTCTTTCTCCATGGCCTCACCAAACTCCTCCCACCCCCAAGATTTTGCCTCGGCAACTGCCACTGCTGCACCCCACTTGGCTTTCCGGTACCTGTCTGCTGCCTCCGGGGACCCACAGACCAGCCACGCCCTGTAGGCCTCCTTCTTCAGCCTGACGGCTCCCCGAACCTCTGGTGTCCGCCAGCGGGTACAAGAGACTATCCATGCAAATGTTGCTTGGAATAGAACAGTCCATGATTTATTGCCATCCAAGCAGTTCTTTGAAATATTAACTAATATAAGAAAAACTCTGATCTGATTGTAGATTATTGAGATTACGCTTGAAGTTGTGAAAGGAAATCAGGATCCATGAAAAGGAAAGAGGCAACGGCCTTGAAAGGAAATATCTTTGTTATTATTATTATTTTATTTTCTGATTAACATTAACAACCATCTCCTGATCACAGACTTCCTAATAATAGGAATAATAAGTTTATAAGGAGTTGTTTTGCTCGCTTCCATCTAGAGGAGCTACTTTATGCCGTTACTTCACGTAGCTTAAAAGGTGGTGTACTTAGTATCAAGTTCACCCTGTAATCTGTTTTATATGGATGTAGAAAGAGTCAAGTCCATGATTTCTGCTGCGGAAAACATGAATGGGTTTACTCTATTATAAAACTTTGTTAGTAGTTGGAAGTAATTTACTTAGAAGATGATGTGGAAAATTAGATTTATTTTTATTTAAAAATTTATTATTTATTATCTTTCAACAAGTGATGAGTGAGTTTGGCTAATAACGTGTATAGTTCTGGTCCCTGGCACACGTGACATGCTTGTAGGTTTAGTGATTTACAGGCTGCTGGCTGACACACACACACGCACGCACACACACGTGCACCCACACACACGTGCACCCACAGTGTTTTTAGTGGGTTTTGTCTGTGCCTCTCTGTCTCTGTTCCAGTAAAGTCCTGGTTGTGATGTTCCACCAGACTTTGCTGGATTGACTCCAGCCACATGAAAGGTAGAGGAAGAGCATGACCAAGCACCACTCTGTTGGCTTCTGGGTTGGATTTTTCTCATCACTAATACATGACAGAAATCAACACAAAAAGTTAATCATTCATCTTTGATCCTGATTATGGAGGAAAAGTGCTCTAGCATATTGAATTCAACTTGTTTCCAAATTAATTTTCTGACCTGTGTTTAAATTACATTTAAACCAATGTGATAAAATAACAAGCTGTCTGGTAGATTGACCCTCGATGGACTAAACATACAGTAGGACACATGGTCAAGTGTGTCTGAAACACATCGTCACTTGAAATACCGATCAGCTCCATGAAATCATGTAGTGTGTGTGTGTGTGTGTTTGTGTCCCATTTCAAAACATTTACTTGTGTATTTTGTATTATTTTTTTAACTAAAGGTGCATTATGTAAGAATATAGTGAGAATTTTACACTGACTATGTTTACATGCAGCCAATATCCGGGTTATGATCGGGTTAAGGTCGGTATTCGGGTTTCTGAGTTGATCAGAATAACCCGTTTACAAGCATAAATAGAAAGAGTTACCCCTAACCTGCATAACCCGATTTAAATGCGGACGTTGGGGTAGCGTCAGGACGTATGGACTACGTCCAGACGCAATATGCGTCATTTCCGGTTCTTCTTGTTCCGGTATCCGTGAAAACAACATGTTTCCCAGTTCGGAAGAGATAGCAACCTCGTCACTCCAAAAGTGTGGTGCTGTGCCGCGACTCGCCATGTTGCTCCCAACTTGTTGTTTACTTCCGGTGTTCTGGCGCATACAAGACATCTCGCTACTCAAAAGACCAAGATTCCTTGCGAACAGAGCATGCGCAGAACACACGCTATGATGGGGATATCCCGATATGCGTTTACACGACCAAACATTCGGGTTAGAAAAGGGTTACCCCAGGTGTAGTAACCGGGTTTTTAAAAACCCGGTTATGAACATATCCGGGTTTTTGGCTGTGTTTACATGGCCGTGCAGAACCGGGTTATTGTGAATATTCGGGTTTTAAAAGGGTTACTGGCTGCATGTAAACGCACTCAGTGAGAAAATCCCAAAAGCAGGGTTTCCCCCAGCGCTTTATAAGCCCCCCACCCTCCTGGCCCTACCTTCTCCACTCACACTGATAAGGCACAGTAGTGAAACGAACAACGGGCCTCCCCTCTGCTGATACTGACGAGAAACGGTTGCAGAGCTATCCGTGCGCAACCCCCACCCCCTCCACGCGCTCTCACGGTCAGGCCCGCCAGGCTTATCAAGTTTTCTGGGGAATCCCTGCAAACGAGTTTAATTATTGAGTCATTTTGGAAGCAAGTTTATACTGAAACATATTTCATATCCAGCTGGCTGCAGGGATTGTCAGTTTTTTCTCCTTTCAAAACAAAGGAAGGAGGGACGTAAGCACTGTTTACCATCAATGAGTGTGGGGTGCCGTGTCTTCTACGAGCTAATACTGCAGCACCGACCATTGTTATTTGACGACGGCCGACAAAAAGCTCCAGAGTTGTTTAAAGTGGTTGCAGTAATCGCATTTTACCACAGGATGTTATTTTACTTCATTTATACATAATGCACCTTTAAAAGGATTTTTTGTTCTCTTATAGGGAAACTGCAGGAAGGTAACTGTTTCAACTGCAGAACCCTCAGACTCACCTGTCAAAAGTAAGTACTTAATAATTCTGTATTTAATTTCTGATAATAAATGAACCGACTTCAAGACTAACTTCACTGAGAGATGGATAAAATAACATCAACATCTGAGATGTGGGTTTATTAAGTTCTCTCTCTCTCCACTCAAGTTCTCTTAGGCTGGATGGGCTCAGACTTGGTAGCTTGGCCCAGCTGTCCTCAGTCAGTCCTTCCCTGCCCTTGTCAGATGAATCCTGTCACAACATAGACCCACAGCAGCTCTACAGTGCTTTAGCAGTAGGGTGCTCCAGGTCACCGTACCCTGCTAAAACTACAGGTGCCCAGTGGATGGTCGTACCACTGCAGGAATTCCCTGGAGTCCGGTGGATACACACCTCAGTCAGAGTGTGGGATGACTCGAAGGTGGAGAAGTTGCTACGCTCAATAAAGGACAAAAAGAAGCTGGAAGAGGGGGGACCGGTTTACAGCCCGACGCTGGATGCAGAACCTGTCAGAAGAACAATTCGACAGCGAGTTGTGGATGAAATCAAACACTACTATCATGGCTTCAGATTGCTGTGGATTGATACCACCATCGCTGGGCGAATGCTGTGGAGAATCCTGAATGGACATCCTCTGTCCCGCCGTGAGAGGAGACAGGTGAGGATGATAAAGATCTGAAACGCTAGCTAGAAACACAGATATGTAGCTCTGTAGCACTGTCTGATGTGTCAGACAGGTGCTTTATGGCACTGAAGGTATGTGAACGATGGGGAACACCACCACACTGAAGCCTGCTGAGCTAACAGTCGTTTGCAGCTGTTTGCTCAGTAGATACCTCACGAGACGCTGAGGTGAAAATCCAACTGTTTTGATGTTTTTTGCCAGAAACTCACAGTGTGCGCCCAACGTGAGCTGTCGGCTGAGGGGAAATATTTTAGTGGCCAATCAAAGCGCATTCTCTGCTCACATGATTTAGAGATAACAGCCTCCTGTTTGCATGTCAGAAAAATAAACAAGTGGTGCCTTGTGGATCGAAGGGCCCACTGTTTCCACTACCCTCTCCATGGCGGCAGTACTGTTGGAAGGATTCTGGGTTTTCAAGGCGCATCTTTTGAAGTAGATTGGCATAAACTCCTTGCCCGGCCCTTCTTTCCAGCTACTGTACCCATACTTCTCTAACCTTGAAATGACAGTGGCGGCGATGCCTCATCAACAAAACTAGTAGAAACATTTCCTCCATTTCCATTTCTGTCTCTGTTTTGTTTATTTTCTGACATGCAGACAGGGGGCTGCCATCTTGGAATCATGTGAGCAGAGAATGCGCCGTGATTGGCCACTATAATATTTCAGCTCATCCAGCAGCTCACGTAGTGCCCACACAGTGAGTTTTTACCCCCAGTGAGGCAAAAAATATCAAACCGGTTTGATTTTCACCTCAGCGTCTCGTGAGGCAGAAAACTCAGTAAAAATTAAGCGCACACAGCGAGATATCTGCTGAGCAAACGGCCTCAAATGACTCGTATGCGGCAGGCATAATGAAAACTACGTATGTAAATGAGACTTTTGACCTTTTACACAATGGATAACTGTGAACTTTCTAAAGAACAGCTGAAATGTCTTTAACCCTCTGGGGTCCATGGACGCATATACGCGTCTTTTGAACAGGTCTGATTTGGGACGTTGTAGCAGCAAGACAACGCCTCCCTCGTAAATGAAGATAAGACTGAGATCCTCATCTGTGCCCCAGACAAGCTGGTTCCCAAAGTCAGAGACTCTTGGTCAGCTTGCTTCTCACACCAAACCTTCCTTCAGGAATCTTGGCGTGACCTTTGACCCAGCTCTCACCCTGGATTCTCATGTCAGTTCTCTTGTTCGCTCTTCCTTCTTCCATCTTCCATCTCAGGAACATTGCTAAGCTGAGTCCCATTCTGTCCCGCTCTGAACTTGAGACTGTTCTCCACACCTTCATCTCCTCATGCTTAGACTACTGTAACTCTCTTTTCACGTGTCTGAGCAGAACCTCCCTGAACCGTCTACAGGTGGTTCAGAATGCCTGTGCTCGGCTTCTGACCAAGTCCTCCAAACACACCCACATCACCCCGCTTCTCCTCCAGCTTCACTGGCTGCCAGTCAACTTCAGGGTTCATTTCAAGATCCTGGTTCTGGTCTATATGGCCTTACATGGACAAGCACCATCTTACATTGGTGATCTTCTTAGTCCCTACACCCCCAGCAGGTCCCTGAGGTCCAGTGATCAAAGCCTACTGGTTGTGTAGCACCAGGCTAAAGACCAAAGGTGACAGATCATTTGCTGCTGTGGCCCCCAGACTCTGGACCTCTCTTCCCCTGAGCCTGAGATCAGTGGACTCAGTGGTCTCCTTTAAAAAGCAGCTGAAGACTCACTTGTTCAAGCTGGCTTTTGTATGACCTTCTTCAACCACTCTCTCTTTATTCTGCTCTCCCCACCTATTCAACCTTCCTTAGGATCCACTGATTTCCCTCTTTCCTGTTCACTCTCTCTCTTTCTTAACATTTTTTAATCACAATTGTCTATTTTTGCTCATTTTAAATATAATTTTAAACATTTTATAAATGCTTTTTTACATTTTTTATTTTTTGTTTTTGTTTTTGTGAAGCGCCTCGTGATTTTTTATCTTGAGAGGTGCTATAGAAATGATATTTTCTTCTCCTTCCCTGAGTTTCAGTTTGAATTCAGCTTTAAAAAGGAGATTATAAACTACACCCCAGTTTTCAAATTTTGTTAATAGGCAACATAAAAGCGGAGTTATACTAAACTAAAAAAACACCTATTTTTAGACAATCTGAAAACTTGTCAAAACAGCAGTTTAGTAATCCGTGAGAGGGAATGTGCTTGTGAACATGAAAAAATTATGTAGCTGAGAGAGAGAGGAAGGCCACACGAGGAACGAGATGTGCGCAAAAAGGAGCCGCTTCACGGGGAAAGGAGTGGCGCGAACGGAGTAACAACAAACAATTAGACAGATATTGATGGTAAACTTCATATTTTGGAGCGATCCGGACAGATATATTGTCTCTGCAGTTTAGTAGGCTTTTACTAGGCTTATTTAAAGGATGATGAGAAGGATAAATGTCCACCATGCAGTTCAGATAGTATGGCTGTTTTTTGAACTGGAAGCAGAGGAAGTGGACGGAGACTCACAGCCGGAGTCTGAGGCAAATAGCGAGGATGTTGATGACGATGTGGTAGATCCATCCTTCCTCATAGAAGAGTTGGGTCATGATGAGGTGGAGGATGAAGGCAGAGATCCAGCTCCTCCGAGATCCAGCAAGAGGAGTGGGCGGCGCCGCGCAGCTGACGGATCTCGGCGTGAGACAGAGCCACTCCCCACTCCAAAATGCATGTACATTATTGCCAAATTAATAAAATAAGTATAAATTCAGATAGTCCAGGTTGTCCTGAAAAAAAAGATACCCCATAAGGCAATATTTATTGTTTTTATTAGAAAATACAAAAGAAAAACCAAAAAGAGTCAAAAACGGTGATTTACACCCTAGACCCCAGAGGGCTAATAATTTATTTTTTAAATGTGTTATTTGCTATATTTATTTTTTTTTTTATTATAAATGTACAGTCTAGATTACCATTCTAAATTATAAAAAACATTCGTCATAAATGTTTTTTGGTTTCACAGTAAAATAAACAACTTTTTTCCAATTCGGATTTTATGTTTTTGAGTGATTTGAGGTCTAATATGCAACCCGTTTATGTCCAAATATAAAAAATAAGTATAAATTCATAAAGTCCAGGTTGTGCTGAAAAGATTGGTACCACATAAGGCAGTGGTTATGGTTTTTATTTTGGAAATACAAAGGAAAACTCTAAATGAGTCAAAAATGGCAAATTACACCCTGGACCCCAGAGGGTTAAACACCACCAACAGTTCTAGAATATTTATAATTAACACAGCATACTTGTGTTTGAGATTGGAATCAGAATAGATCATGGCATCTCCAACACACACACACACGCACGCACGCACACACACACACACACACACACACACACACACACACACACACACGTTTGATCCAGTTTGTATGTGTTGAATTGCAGCAGATACCCAGAAAGCCTGTTCCAAACTCATCTACATCCCAATCACTAACCTGGGTTGGCTTTTCCTCTATTTCCTTTCACATTCATTTACTCCCTCTAAACTCCTTCAACTTAACCACCCCCACACCTCCGTGCTCCGATGTCCAGGAGATGATATACATGTCAATGGACCTGTGGACAAAGCCCTTTTCAGTTGAGATGCCTTAAATCCTTCACTCTACTGGCCCACATGCAGGTGGAAAGAGCAAAAAGGAGAGTCTTGTGTTTTGCCTTTCTCCCTTTTTGATCATTCCTGTCATTTTGTCCCAGCCAGGGCGAGCAGTTGATCGCTGCACAATGGGTTGGTCGAAAGTTTTCACGTTGGTATCCTGCTCCATGCAGATGAAACAGAAGTGATTCTGATGTTTTTGAGGAAATTCGGAATGAAAACGGCAAACATTGATGGGTGACTCCTTTCTGCTGGAAGCCCAGATAAACAACAGCCTGGTCAAACTGAACAGTAATGACGGATTGATGTCCCGCCTCCTCTGCAGGAGTAAATAGGAGTTGGTTTCTGTTGAGCTGTGTCAAACCTTTGAGCTTTTTTTGTTTTTCATCTTTAGTTTCTCAGAACATGTGCAGACGTCTTTAGACTGCTGCCTTTCCTGGTGTTCATCATTGTTCCTTTCATGGAGTTTCTGCTTCCTGTGGCGTTAAAGCTGTTCCCCAACATGCTGCCGTCCACCTTTGAGACACAGTCAAAGAAGGTAACCAGAGCTTTATCTTCTCTAAGACTAACAACTGGTTTGGTTTACCACAGTGGTTTTAATCCTGTTTAACTGTGGTTTGTTTATAATTGTATTTTCTTTTAGGAGGAGAGATTGAAAAAAGAGTTGAGGGTCAAACTGGAGATGGCCAAGTTCTTGCAAGACACTATTGAGGAGATCGCTTTGAGGAACAAGGCTGCCAAAGGCAACGTGACGGAGGAGTTTTCCACCTTCTTCCAGATGGTGAGTCAGCACCCTCACCTCCCTCTGCCCGGCAGCCATAACAGATGAGTCATGCAGTTCTGAAGCTCCAACCAGGACCACTCTGCACCGATCAGGGCCTGAAGTTCAACCCACTCTCCCAATCCCAGACTAAAACCAGTAAACACTCCAGTTGTTTCTGTTAGCACTGCACTGGTAGTGATTACCAAAGAGCCGTGGGTAGGATGAGTAGTTTGTGTTTCTGAGTCTCTGCCTGCTGCTGTTTTTCTGACCACTCCTCATTAAAAACCAGCAGTTTTATTATTTAGACCAATTTAGATTTGTTTTTGTGCTTCTTTAATAAATGTCGATTCAGAAAAAGTAAACCAGTTTATAATGTTGATCTATTCATGAAGCAGAAATGACCACCACTGTGCACCAGCTGTCAGAAACAGCTGCTCGCTAAAATCATTACTGCTGTTGTCCTGGAAATGGGGTCCAAGCTGGACTTCCTCCCCCTGGTTTGTCTACTGGTTTAGTTGGTTAAAGTATTCCAGTTGAAAGACCATCAGCTGTCACCAGTTCTCACAGAAACAAACATAAAAATACCCATTTATGCTGAGATGGTGGTTGTTAAAGTAAACGGCTTATATTTATATAGCACACACACATTCACACGCTGGTGGTGATGAGCTACAACGTAGCCACAGCTGCCCTGGGGCACGCTGACTAAAGCTAGTTATGGGAAAATAAATTCAATGCAAGTTTATTTTATGTTTGAGGCCCACAACTGACAACAATCGACTTTTAGAAGGCTAGATAACACCCGCCACACACACACACACACACACAAACACACACACACACACTAGGGTTGGGCGATTTGTGTTTTTCCCACCGCCAATCGTCAGTCCAAAAAAAGACGACGGACGATTTATTCGTGCATGTGACGTCATGACGCACGGACTGATTTAACACAGAAGCCCAAAACAGATTTTTTATACAATCGCAGCACAAATGTTTGCTGGAAGAGAAATTTATAATTTTCTTTTTGTTTAATTTTGTATTTGTAGTTTGGTAGAGTGACGTATAAACACGGTTAAAATGTTAAAACGAAGCCTCGTCTTTGCTTCCCTGTGGTGCCCACTGTTGTGGTATTTTATTTAAGCTAAATGTTTCTTTCTGAACAAAAACTTCTGGTGTCTTTCTTTTATAAGTGGGGGATGGAAGGAATCGCTGCTGCGTTTGGACGCACTCTGAGGAGGCAGCTCGCTGCCAGAGGTCACATGATCCATTTATCCCCGTCACTTTCATCTTTTAAATTATGAATAATCATTCATTAAATTTCCATTCATTTTAAATAATATTTAGTCCAACCAAGTTGATCAGAATGCCCCAGTAACTCGAACAATACATTTCAAGGATTTCACTTAAATTGGGAACAGTTCACCTGCTGCAGCTCGAACGCACATTCCTCCTGCGCCGCGTAAACCTGAACTGGTCGCCTGCAGCTTGTGTGCCATCAAATGTGTCTAGGGAGCTTGCTGAAGAGGTCATGAGCTTCTAGACGTGTGCCTCAGACAGACTCGTGGCGGTTTAAATAATGTTCTGGATGGATCCGTGCTCTGCTGACACACTCGAAGCAGGCGCTGAATAACGACGAGCGCTACTTCAGTCAAGGTTTTAGATCAGGAAACATTTCTCCAACTGAAATAACCAGAAGTCTTCCAGACTCTGAAAGATAGAAGGGTTTCCACTCAACGCCGCGCTGTAGTGCACGAAGTCGAGTGTGTCGCAGACGCTCTCCAGAACCCTCCTCAGCTCGCCACTTGCCCACGAACTGTCAGCAGCCAGAGGCGGAGGAGGTGAGAAAAGGCTCAGATGCGCTGATGGAGATCTTTTCGTGATTGTTACCTCTCTGTGCGTAACGTGTAAAATATTCGTCAGTAACAAACAAATAAATAAATAAACATATCGCCTCCTGTAAAAAAACAACCGTAACGGCTCAGCCCATCACCCAACCTTAACACACACACACACACACACACACCCCTAAACCTGACAGAATTCAAACACTTCTCTAGCAGTCAAACTGTTCTTTGTTTTGTTTACCAACACAAATATATTTGTCAGACTCGGTTGCAGGAGAACTCCAGGTACATGAAGCTGCACTCGTGTGTAATCTCCGTTATTGTTCTTGTGCTGCCATCTGGGTCCAGGTCACTCTTGCAGATGAAATGTAATATCTCAGAGTTTTTACCTGAATAAATAATAATAATGAGAACTGTCGAGTACATGTTTCTTATTTCTAACTGTTTTGTTTTTGCTTGTAAATCTGTCTTAAGTAAAGTGTTCATGTCTTCTGTAGATCAGGAACTCTGGGGAACGACCGAGTAACGAGCAGATCATAAAATTCTCCAAACTGTTTGAGGACGAGCTGACTCTGGACAACCTGTCTCGGCCTCAGCTGGTGGCTCTCTGCCGTCTTCTGGAGCTCCAGTCCATCGGGACCAATAACTTTCTCCGCTTTCAGCTCATCATGAAGCTCAGGGCCATTCGTGCAGATGATAAGGTACCTGTAGTTACGTTTTACGTTGTATGTGGATAAAATCATTTATAGAAACTACAGCTGGTGTTTTACTTGTTGCTTCCTGTGGTTTGTTGGTTTAGCTAATAGCCGAAGAGGGAGTGGAGAGTCTGAATGTGAACGAGGTCCAGGCAGCATGTCGCGTGAGAGGGATGAGATCTCTTGGCGTCACAGAGGATCGACTAAGAGAGCAGCTCAGCCAGGTAACGAGAACACACACACACAGCCTTAACTCATGGCTGGTGTGCACAAAAGCACTTCTGTAGAGGTTTGTGTTTGCCTTTTGCAGTGGTTGGAGCTACATCTGAACCAGCAGATCCCAACATCTCTGCTGCTTCTGTCTCGAGCCATGTACCTCCCTGATACTCTGTCTCCTGCTGATCAGCTGAAAACGACACTGCAAACTCTTCCTGAAATGGTGGTATGTTGACAGTGACATGCAGAACAAGAAAACACATTTTACAAGGTGGTGTAAGGAATTTAAAACATAAAAACGCTGCTCACTACATGTACCATAACCAGCTGTAATGCATTTAGAGAACAGAGGAATTGTGTATGCAGTTTCAGAAATGAGTCATCTTCTGTCTTAACGAGGGTTCAGTGCAGCTCTTATCAGGGGCCAGAGCACCGAAGCCTAATAACATGAGTCAGGAGTTAATTTGCCTGCAAAGACATTAATGAAAGAATGAATCCCTTTATTGTCATTGCATCTTATTAGTTGTGAAGCTAGGATGGCTCCCCTGAAACTCAAAAAAATGACTGAAATGCAGACATTTGCAGAGGCATTTGAAGTGATTTGTACTTAGGTTCAAATAAGACCGTTTAAAAGTCACGGTGCTCATGGGTAAGGGCTGCTTTTTCAGTCTTTGTCCTTAACTCTAGGACAGGGGTATTCATTTCTGGGCCTCGTATCCAACACATTTCAGTTCTAACTCTGTTTCAACACACCTGGTTTCAATCAGCAGGTAATTAACAGGCTTCTGCAGAGCCAGACAAGCTGCTGTACAGGTGACTCGACCACTAAAACGTGCTGGATACTGGCCCCCAGGACTGGAGTTGAAAACCCCGGCTCTAGGTTATAGGGCAGTGATGTCTCGTCCATAGGGGGTACTAGGGCTACTAATGATGCTAGAGGCATGGTTGGGGGGACAGAAACATAAGTAGGGTTCTTCCAACATAGAAGGTAACAAGCTTAATTTAAGCGGAAAGATATTTACTAGTAGAGCTGGTGGCTATGACCCTTTCTGCAGACCGCTGACAGGCAAATATGGAGGTTTCACCTGTAATATTTATTCACGTCGACCTTTCCTCCTGTCTGCAGACCAAAGAGGCCCAGTTAAAGGTGGCAGAGATTGAGCTGTCCAAAGTGGACAACAAGACCAAAGTAGAGACAATGCTGCAGGAGGAGGCAGCAATACGACAAGACACGAAGGACCGGGAGATGGAGAGGCTGGCTGATGCAGCAGAAAAGGCCGCCCAGGTGAATCTGGTGCTGCTTTTGTTATTCAGAGACACAGATGTTAACTAGATATCTGAGATTGTTGTTAAAATACCTTTTATGTTCTTGCAAAGATCAGCTTTCACATAAAGCCTATAGGGAACTCCTGTTGGGTTTGGCATGAATTACAGGGAATAGCTTATTTTAGACTTGATCTGCAAATTCTTTCCTTCTATTTTTCTTAAATGCATAAATTATTTGATGTAAAGAAAGGGACTTAATGAAATGCCTTTTATTTCTGCAGTGAGATTTTTTCTCTTTTGGGCAATTATTGTATTTTTAGCTCTTTGCTCTGTTTGTTCTCCTGCAGGAAGGCCAGCTGGAGCTGGAAGCGGCTGCAGTGAAGCTCAGCGAGGAAGAATTGAATAAAGCCGCTCATCCAGAGACGCTGAGGGACACCGCTCCAGTCTTAGAGGGAACCAAGGTAATGTGTTCTCTCTGACTGTGAAGGATACAGACTGCCTAAAAACTAACCCAGCATTTAAGTAGAATGTATCACTTTTTGCTGGATTTAAAATCCATGCCCTCATTACCTTTTATAAAATGAATGATTTGTATTTTATTTTATTGAAACTACTCTGTTTATCTTGTGATGATCCAATCTCAAGTGTAGAAAAACAAACAGTTTTACCTACAAACACGTTTTCTCTGGTCCCACCACAGCGAGTTACAGTCTGGGCTTTGACTGGACCACAGACGGTTTCTTGGTTCTGTTCTTTGCCTGCTGCTGTTGATCTGCTGCTGTTTTCAGGATCATGGTCCAGTTTGTGACATGGTTTGGTCTCCGCTTCAGTTATTGGGCAGAGACGCCATATTTAGACTCTAGAATACTTTGGTTTCTAGAGGAGTTCCTGGTAGACTCAGTGAGTCTTATAGCTGCAGAACAGCCCAAACCATGATGCCTCCACCACCGCGCTGGGAGCAGCTATTGGTGCTGGTTTCTCCATTCGTCCTGCCGTACATGATGGTTAATTGTCTTCATGTTGGGATGATGTTCCAAATTACTTGCGGTTCGGATAAAACTAATCTGAGTAAAGCTACCATGACCTTTAACCTGCTAACTGAGACCTGTAGAGTCTGAGATGGAGCCTTTAGGCATTGACCGCTGACCTCAAGGTGAACCTGCTTAGATGTCCGCTCCTGGGAAAATCATCAGCTTTCTGGAATGATTCCACATTTTTCCTGTAGAATGATGGAGTCTAAGTGACCTTTGAGGTCGTTCCTGATGTCTTTCCTGGTTGCGTGAACACACACCTGTATGCTCCAGAGCAGCAGATTGACTGATCTCCTGCCTTATAGAGAAGCTGATGCTGATGAGGTCTTCATCATATCCAGTTTCTCCTTCTTGTCTTTGTTCCAGTTTCATAAACTTGCTGAATCTGTCAGATTTTTCTACACTTGAGACTAGAACCATTTGGGACCTGTTAAAGACCTGATCTTTATTGGTCTTTGTCAAACCTCAATATTTTTTATATAAATCAGACTTTTTACTGATTATTATGAGACTTTGGCTGCTTTGTAACTCACTTGTTGCATTCTTTTCTATGTTATCGTTTGACCCAGTCCGAACAGTGGCAGCCGTTTCGTTTCCAGGTTAGGTTTATTGTTGCCCCCTTCACTTCCCCTGACACCCCCCACAGCAGTTGATCCCTGTAGGATTTGTTTTTCTGTGCACAGATTCACGCTTGGGTTGTACAGCAGTTGTAAACAATGTTAGCCTTTTTAGTCTTATTAGACCTTATCCACTCTGGGTCATCTTGCAGTGCTACGTTCAGGTTGGCAGAGTACATCGTTGCTCAGACCACTGTCAGAAGGTGCTTTTATAGGACACACCATGCCGGCAAATCGGCGTAATATTACCGCAATGGTACGTCTTTAAACGTGCCATGCCGGCATGGCGTTGCGCGAATATTGCGGCATTCGTTCCGCCTCGCTTGGTAATAAAATTGCTGCATCAGCCCCTCACCTCTGACGGCTAAACACGTGTCATCCCCGCTAATCCCTTTGGAGCGAGTGTGGGAGCCCCCCCCCCCCAAAAAAAGGGGGTGGTCGCGTTAGTCACGTATACTGCGCGCCGGCCGGAAGGAAAGCCGGCTGGACGTATGCGGAGACCATGGAGCTTTTGGCCGTGCAAGCGGACAAACAGATTAGTTGCCTTTTTACGGGGACGGTGGGAGACAGCCAGCTGTTCAACAGAGTGGTGAAAACACTGGCTGACAAAAGCAGGTCACATCAAAGCTAAAGGTCCTGAAAAAGAAATTTCATCAGTCCATCCTGGTCCACACTGAAGGACCTTATGGGGCTGCACAAAAGCAGCTGAATGTGTCCAAGTACTCAGATGTATCCTGGTCTAGAAACACATCACATTTCATTAACTCATTCGCTGCCAGCATTTTTCAGTGTTTCACTGTTTTTTAAGAGTCACAGAATGTTGCACTCTATGATGATGTCAACACCAAAACCAACAAATCAAAGAGTAGACTCATCTCTTACATCAGGAAGAATCCACGTGTGTTGAGTGTTATCCGTTCTGTCATAATTTGTTGTCGAATTGTGATCGGCAGAAGCTTTTCCGATTCGCGCCTCACTTTTTTTTTTTTACAGCAGCAGCTCAAAACGATCTAACACATGGATTTTCTGCTTCCTGGTCACGTGACATGTGACGTATGCGGATGAAGATCGGCTTTAGAGCTGAGATGTTTGTTCTCACTGTGTGGAGGCTCGTTCCGACACCCACACAGTAAAAAAGTGCAAATGATGACTTTAGTCATTTATTTATCATTACCAGCGGTGGGATAAACCTGGAGATGACCTGTGGCAGCAAAAGGTTTTAATGTCAGAAACCTAAACCCAAACCCAAAGTAGCAGCAGACTCGTTTGTAAAGCAAGTAACTGAGAGCTGATCTGCTAGAGAGGAACAGTCGAGCCTAAAGCTGACACGGCAGTTAGTTACTGGTCTGAGCAACAACCGTAGAGGAAGACAGCTTAACTTTATCATTTATAGTAAATTCCATTCATCATTTTTTCAGACTTTTCTGTTTGTCACACACCCATCTACCCTGTCTTGTCTAAACCCCTCCTCAGTTCTTAGAAGGATCCTTGAGGTTGTCTGGATTTAGTTTCTGTAAAAAGATGAACAATTAAAATCTTACTTGCTTTAGAGAGCAGTCTGAATGACCTCAGCGTGTGTTACATACGCTGAACCAGAACTACTGCAGGCCGCTAATTTACCGTAGAATGTAAATGGTCACAGGGATGAATGTTTATGTAAAAGGAAATAACTTTTTTGAGACTGAAGATCTTCTGTGATGACCGTAATCTACTGATCCCACTGTGACTAGCCATTAGCTTGTCAATCTGCACAGAACTATTCTCTGTTTCTCTAAACTGAGGCTGTCCATAGAGCTACAGGTAAGATGAGAATTTCTGCCAACCTCACAGCCTCACATAAATGTTTCTGACTCCGCAGCAGGTCACAGCACACTTTAAACAGCTGTTTTTGTCACTTTTTTTAAATGAAAAACTGAGCTAAAAACAATCAATTTTATAATTAAAACAGTTACGACGGTCATTTGTCTTGATTTTCTGCTTGGCTTCACTAAATTCTCTCCATATGTAGAATTTTTTACAGCAAACTGCAGTTTATCTGCCATCTAAAAGTCATTTCTTACCTGTTCAACTTGAAAAATGTTTGAATAATATAATTCAATAGAAGGAGCAAAGTATTTAAGCCGTTGTTTGACGAGTTTGTGTCGGACAGGATGAGGAGATCACCAAAGAAGAGATTGACCTGCTGAGTGATGCCTGCTCAAAGCTGAAGGAACAGAAGAAACTGCTGACTCTGGAGAAAGAAGAGCTGGAAGAGCTGAAGGACGATGTCCAGGAATACAACGAGGTGCCTCCATCAGTCTGGAAACAGACACCATTCAAACTTTAGCTTCAGTTTAGCTAAAAGCTTCAGATGTTTTCTGAACATAAAGGCTGACTTGTCTGACCATATTTTCTCTCCAGGATTTGGAGGAGATAAAGAAGGAGTTTTCTAAGACAGGTCAGGAGAAGGCTTTAGAGGAGTCCAAGGCCAGCCAGCGCCTGTCTAAGAGGGTGACCCGGATAATCGGACGCATTGACAAGATCATTCTGGAGCTGGAGAAGGATAAGGTCATCCTGGACGGACAGGTGGACAGTGGAGCCACTCCCCCTGTTGGGTAAGAGCTGGTTTTAGTAAACCAGACCTTCTATTGGCTCTCTCCACAAACAGATGAGCTCCAGCTGTTCTACATAATTTCAGCTGAAGCTAAAATTATTTTTAGAAAAGGAGAAAATCAGACGAGGTCTGAAGATGTGATCAAACGCTCGGCTTCTCTTCAGTTATCCATTAAAATCGGGAGAAAGTCGCAGAAACAGTTTTTTTGTCATAGTTCTGTAATAATGTATTAAATTATTTTGATATCATTTTTTGAACTGAGGTGATCCACAAATGAAGACATTTAATGGGGGAATGAATGATTTTTCCTCGAGTGTTTTCTCTGGTCGTTACAGCCTTTTCTAACTGTGTACAGCGCCTCCTGCTGGCAACACTAGTGTAGTGCTGCTCACCAGCTAAAGGAAAACAGATTTGTGTTTTCTCTGAGTTACGTAAACGAACTCCAAAGTTTTATGGAATGGATGAAAAACAGATTAGTTTTAATTTGCCTCGTAATGAAATAAATTTTGTCAAATCATCCATTGATTGTAAAAAAAAAAATTTATAAAAAGTGGCGGAGGGTGTTTTAAGGCTTAAAACGGATCTAGATTAACTCAACAGATTTATTACACCAGGTCTGATCTCTTCCTTTGTTCGTTTAAATATTTACAGGTTATTATTTTCTAAATATAATGATGCCACAAGGTAAGAGGCGCTGTAGAAGCCGTTTCCTGGCTTGTTGATGACTAACATTGCATCGTGCTGCTCTAGATGAGTGGTGAACTGTGACTCTCCTCAGCATACATAAACCCAACACTAGCAGTGCTGCATTTAAGGACATTCTTAGGTAGACATCAGACCATCAGGTTTAATTCAAAACCCATCAGACTTCTGACTAAAAGCTGTCAGTTATGACACCTGTAATACAAACGTACTTCTCATCATTCCTTCACCGTTTTATAAGTGATCATAGTAACACTGAACTGACCTGCATGCTTAAGGCTAATAAAAGCTTTTAGACTTCTGTGTGGCCCAGTACCAGATGATCCACAGACTGGTACCAGTACATAGCCTGGTTGTTGAAGTAGCCCTGATGGTTCACCATCGGTAGGGAATCTCCCACAGCAGAGAACAGCTGTGTTCTGATCCTCAGAGGTAACCCTCACTACCTGCTCTAACAGTTAGACTGATTTCATAAAGCCTCTGACACAAAGTCAGGACCAATTCCTTTTTAGGTTTGACCTTCAGATGGTTAAAACCGATCTAATGACTCTGTGTTGTTACACTTGAACTAAACAGATTCCAGAAGTTGCGGTCAGTAAAAATGAGGCTCAGACTGATGTGATGTGGTAACCATGGATACCGCCCGGTGACCTCAGTCTGCACCACATTTTACACCCCATCAAAGCCGGTAACTGTTTCCTGTTTACAGTCTTTTCTACACCTTTAGGGAGAACTTAATCAGCATCAATGAGCTCATCAGCGTCATGCGGCAGATCCAGAACATTCCAGAGGACAAGCTGTTGCGGATCACTGAGGCCCTTGATGACAACAAGGATGGGAAGTTAGACATTGATGATGTCATCAAGGTACAAAGGAGAAAAGTGATGTCTAGCATCTCTCCTCTCGTCCGTACATTAAAACAACCATAAAGACCCAGCCGGGGTCCAGGCTCAGTGGTTGCTAAAGTGCCCTGGTCTTTTTGCCTCACGCTCTTCAGGTGGTGGAACTGATCGACAAGGAGGACATCGACATCTCCACCTCCCAGGTGGCCGACATCATGGCGATGCTGCAGAAGGAGGAGAAGCTGATGGAGAAGGAAAAGGCCAAAGAGAAAACTGAGAAGGAGCAAGCAGCTAAACTCCACAGCTAACTCTTTGTCTCACACAGTGGACACCTGTACAAATCAAAACACACTTTCTGTCTGGAACCACAACAACATGGCAAGATTCAGAGGAGAATTATTAATCATTTTTAAATATAAATCAAAAACGGCTTCCTTCCTGTAAAACGCACAAAATCACCTTGATGGCTTGTTTCTGGAGTGATCTTATATTTGTGGATACTTGATTAGTGTAGCTCACAAAATTATTTATTGATACAGGGAAACCCCAGATGTGTAACTAAGGCTGCTTTCCTCACTTAAAAGTGTAAAAATGGAGATGTAGTTTATCAGGTTTTAGATGGTGAGTTTGGTTTATCAGCTCATTTTCATCAGATGATTGTTTTAGTTTAGTCATCCTGCTGGATCTGGATTGAGTTTTGATTGGTGGTTGAGGCTGCTACCAAAGATGAACAACACCAACCACCGTTTGAATGTTAGAGTTCAGGTTTACAGATTTAGGTTCATCTCTCTCTTCCAGTAAAGCTCATTGGTTGGTGTTGCAGATCTGTAACCAGTTTATTCACTTAAATGTCTCTAAATCTCGTGTCTCACCGTGCTGGGGCTGTTTGAGACATTTATGTCTCAAAACATTCTGGAGGGTTCTTGGTTTTCCCCGAGTTAGCGTAGGGCGTCCCTCAGAAGTCCCTGGAATCCTAAATGTGACAGATTTTCTCTAAAGTCTGTCCAACAGTGGACATGGACATCTGGAGCTTGTCTCAGTTTAGTTTTTATGCGTGAGAAGGGGGACAAATGTGAGACAACTCTATTAGGAAAATAAGATGGGACAATTAAGAGACTTTGAGTGGGTGGGGCTTACGGTCAGGTGAGTGGGTGGGGCTTACGGTCAGGTGAGTGGGTGGGGCTTACAGCCAGAGATTTCATGGCTTGACTTTCCAACAGCAGAGATAATTTATTCATGTTATTTATTAATCGATGGTATGCATTCAGTTTGACTCCAACTAAACTTTCAAAATTAGCTCATAACATTGTCAGCTGTTAACTGTAACAGGTCAGGTTAAAGGTCGTGGCTAAGTAGCACAGATATGATTGCTAAGCTAATGGAGACATATGGATGATTGGAGCATAATTAGCTAGTTATGCTAAGTAATTAGAACTTTCTACCAGCTAGTAGAAATGTTTGGTCGATGGCACTACCCAGTGGGTTCAGAGTGAGCATGGTGCTTGGTGGTTTGGTAGTTCTGTTAGAACTGGCCTCTACAGGATCAGTACAAAGTGGCCTTCTCAGAACACACCTGGTATTGTTCATGTACTGTTTGTCTTTTTTTAGAAATTTACAGAGATTTATTTTTTATTAAATGATTCTGATTTTGTTTTTAGACTCAGTTGTTTGGCTTCCTGGTGATCAGATCCTTTTGCACTCCAGTGAGTTTTTAGGACTAAGTGATGACTGAACTGTTTTTGTCTGTTCTTGCTACAAACTGCACTGCAGGTGGGATGTAAACACACTCTGGCGCAGTTTCACTTATGGATGCAACTCGGCATCACCATTATTTCCTGTAATCAAATGATCAAAAAGAAAACAAACACGAAACTTGTACTCTGTCTCTAGACATGTCTCTGACATGACTTACAAATGAGGATTTAACAATACAGTAGAGGAGAAGGGAAGTAGGAGTATCACAGGATAGCACTGGCAGCTGAACCTGGATCCGTTTTAGAGACTTGGCCCTTATTAAATGCCCAAAGAGAGTCTTGTACAGAGGTAACATCAGATCTCTAGATTCAGGTGCATCTGTAACAGCTACTTCCATGTTTTCAATTAAAAGTCTCTGCAACATTCTGTCTCCGTTAATCCTAAAGCCGCCTCATTTACTGGCCCGTCTGTAATGGTCTGTTTAGACCCTTCATTCATGTGATCAGATCATCAAAATAAATGGAGCCTTGGAGTTGTGTAGAAGCATCACTCTGCCTCGCTAACGCCCACAGCAACTGAAGGACAAGTGAAAAACAGAGAAGTGAGTAGGAAGGTTATTTGATTCCATTTAGTTTGAATAATAAACTAAAAGTGGAGTACGCCATTTCCACTTTCTTCTGTGTGGACGTTCATGACTTGAATGTTGAACATGTAACGAGCGTAATTTCTGCTTTAACACTTTCTTGTTTCAGTGAAGAATGCATTGTTTACAAAAGATAAATAAATTGCGAAGGATCTTCTATCCCTTGTTTTTATTTTTGGTCACATTTTATTTTCTAGTTTGTGTCACACTAGCCCTTTAGACAGAGGTGGATGTGTTGTGCACACAGCTGCCTGCTGGACGTTTTCCTTTCCTAGCTGGCTAGTACTTAGCTTTCTGCTCTTCCATCTGGTGACTTTGAGGAACCTTAAAACCCTTTCAGCTCATCAGCTGGATTGTTCTCCATAGTTAGCTTTGTCAGGAGTCAAGGAAAAGGTCCTGATTTCTGCTCATCAGGTCCTGATCGGAGGAATCAGGAAATCTGTGCTTAAGCAGGACTTCAGTGCCTCCTGCTGGTAAGACATAGATGCAACACCTGTCACCTGGCTTCTAAACCACTTTAATAGATCACATTAAATCAGACTGTTCTGTAAAAATGTTCTAGCTCTTGTTCTTTGGTTTGAGTACAATTCCTTATATTGTAATTCAGCTGAAAAATGCAGGAAGCTGAAATAAATACGTCATCAAAACTGAGTTATAGATTGTAGGGTTTGGTAAACTGGGTACTTTAACTCAGTATATATATTAACTCTACTTGTGACCAATAAGCTGTGATACTCTAAATATAGAATATCACCTTGCCTGGTCTGTATTGTGTTTAATTATAAGATTCTAGGATTTTTGCTTTATTAAAGAGCAAGTCACCCCCTGCTAGATTCTTACTCAACTCCCACTTCCTGTTTGAAAAATGCAACAAATGCTTTTGTCTAGCAGACCGAGAGGGCAGAGCCTCTAACAACTACACAGTACTGGGGTGGGGGTGGGGGTGGGGTGTACCGAAGTCCGTAGACTAAGTTGCCAGTGCGACCAGGTCAGTCCAGTCATCTCCAGGTAACGACGGTTGGAACTAGTTTGCGTCTCAGGAATAACTCAGTTGAACAAATCAGCTTGTTCTGCAGGAACTATTTTGTTGTATCAGCTTCGCAGGTGAGAAAAAAAGGTTTTGACGATGTGTCAAAATCTTAGAGAGGTTGCGACAGGTGGCCGGTCTGAAGCCTTCTCTAGAACTGAACAATCACCAGCGTGCTCTGGTTTTAATGTTATGATTGTGTAGCCAACCAAAGGTCGATAAGTTTGGATGTTACCAAGAATTTCAGACACATGCCTTCTTTGATCTGGAGGCTCTGATCTGGGTAAAAGGTTAATTGTGTCATGGGCTTAACTTTACCTTACTTGTGTGAGTGCAAATGTTATGACCTTGTCAAGTAAACATGCTAAAACAACCATTGAGCACAGATTAATGAAACATTTCATTATGTTTTAATTATAAGTAGCAATAAGCAAACGTTTAATGATTATCTAGCTTGTAAATTTCAGAAGTTCATATTTAATTTTAAAAATCTTTCTTCTTTGAAGCGAGTTGTTTAAATAAAAGGGTTGCTCTGCGAGGGACCTTGGAAAGAACAGGATGTCAACAAGCAGTCCAGGATCTTGTGGCTTGTTGGCAGCTAGAATATAAAATCACCTCATAGGATTGAATCAGGTCTGTAGATGACCTGTAGGTCATCTGTAGGTGAAAACTGACCATTTATGGACATTACATGATTCCCCGTTTCAACACAGAACCACTTTGATTTCTGAGTCAGTTAGAGTGTCTCAACAGATTCAGATAAACACGTCTTTCGTGTTTTACATCAAACCAAATGTGATGAAGAGGAAGCAGGTCTCTGCTGAGCATCAGTGGGATTAGCTGCATACCGAGCGGAGCTAACATGCTAATTCTCAGCTCACACGGTGAACACAAAGCTGCTCAGAGGATCAGCCTGATCCAGCATCATGTGCAGCTTCCACTCCAGAGACCAGTTCAGCCATCCTGCTGCAGCAGAAACATTTCACTCTTCTTCCTCACATTCACCAATCCCTCTCTGTGCAGAAAAACAAGTTCCTGGGTTAAAGTCAGCAAGAACACAGCACCAGCAGAACCAGATGTGCTGCTCTAACCTACAGGAACAACCTAACCTGATTAGTTCTGTTGTATTTGGGTCCAAACACCAAGCTAAAATAAATGCAAACATTTAAACTATGACACCAAAGCCTTCACTTTATTTATGGCAACAAAAAGATTCAGAAGAGCTGCTGGGTCTGTTCTCACAGTTCTCCATCTGGTCCAGAAAGGTCCCAGCTGATCCCAGGTGGTTCTGATCGAGTCGTGTGTTAGAATCAGTCCAGGTTCAGTGAGTCCTCGCTTGGACCTGAATTAAGTTTTGTTTCAAACCAAACAAGTAAACACACCCACCTTCCAAGTGCGTGTACAGAACCACTACTGGGTTTGGGTTACAGTGAACAGATCCTGAAACATCAGAGTCTGATTTATTTACCGGGTCGAGTTTCTGTCTTATGCAGCTGTAAAGTCACAGGAACAGTCGCTGTTCTCCATGCACAGAACCAGTCACCACCCAGAAACCCACCTCAAATATGAACGATCCCATTACAACCCTGCTTACATCTATGCCACTGTACCAGGCTGTAACCCAGACCCGGCTGGACCCGAACCTGCAGAACAGAACACTGGAACGATTGGTTTTCTATGTGTTTGTTACGGAACAATGAAATCCTTTTATTTAAGTCAACATCAGAATAAACATCTCACAGGATCCTCCCAGTCTGACCTGGCCCATCAGCCCCAGACCTGCCAAGAGTGTGACAGCCGGACCGGATCAGCGCTGGCCGGTGTAAGCTCTAAACCAGGAGGTGACAGAGGCAGCAGCGGAAGAGATCATTCCTCCAGGGTTACCAGATGGCTGGGAGACCTGCAGTGCACTCTGGGAAAGATCCATGGGCTGTAGGAGGAGGCAGCTTTTAGTGAAACATCTGGATCCGAGCCCATTTGGTCCAACAGATCAGGCTAAAGTGTGCTCCTACCTGGGAGGGGATGTCACAGAACCGAGGACTGGGTACCGTCTCCCAGTCCATTCCCAGGTCCGTCTCCTCATCTGTTACCGACTCCTCCCCGCTCTCCTCCAACGACCCAGACACTTCTGGCTCCACAAACTCAATCGACTCCTCCAGGTCAGCGCTGACCTCAAATGGGCCGGTCCTACAAACAGAACCTGTGGATCAGCCTCATCTGCTGTTCTAGAGCTTTATGAACCTAAATCCGAACCCCACTGAGAGGTCCTGTGTCAGGTACCTCTACAGCCCGCTGAACCGGTCTCACCTGCCCAGACTGCTGTTGTCAGGGGCGATCAGAAACATGATGTTCCTAAGAGTGTGATGAGGGTGAAGCTTCTCACTGTCCACATGCTGAAGACAGAAACAGGTCCAGGGTTCAGAACCAGGTTTTATCAGTCCCTTCTGTTATTATTACTAAACATGCATCAGACTGAGCTGGACTAGAGGAGCTCTGAGGACGCGTCCAGACGGCGTCCTGCTGCTGCACAATCATTAGATCTTGATGTCTGACCTGAGAGAAGCACAGATGGAGGATGTTGCTGTTCAGTTTGCTCAGAGATCTGGTGAAGCGGTACCGACTCAGGTTCTCTCCACAGAACTCACTGAGGAAGACCCAGAATAATGAGGGTTACACACACACACACACACACACACACACACACACGATACCCGCACACACACACACACACACACACACACACACGATACCCGCTCCGGGACTGCTGCAGCCTGACGTGTCTCACCTGTTACACAGCTTCTTGGGCAGGTTGACATCCAGAATGTGAGACAACGTCGTGACGAGCTGTGTGGCGTAGCAGAGAGCGGCGCTGATGGTGTGAGCCGGGTTGATGTGGTCCAGCTCTGCAACAGACCAGCAGATCCTGTTGAAGAGCTCAAAATTGCCATGGCAACAATCACCCAATTCATAACCTGCTTCACAGAGCATTCCAGAGCATACACCTGCTCCCCGTCTGAAGCCACAGAGGAACCTTACATCCTGACCTGCAGATGAAAATCTACCCAAACAAAACGCTGTTCATAAATAAAACCCTGAAGAGAAAAAAACATGCTTTTAAAAGAAGTGCTGAAGAGAGGAGAGATGCTGCATTAAAGCTAGGAACAGCAACACTGTGAAGGACACAGCAGACCTCTTAGTGTTTACAGGAGCAAACTTCTTAGTTCACATGCACAGCTGCTGTTCTAAAACCCATGTTTAAGGTTATGAATATTAAGATGTTTAACTTGTGACCTGGTATTATGGGCTGGATTTTATATCTCCAGGGGAACGGATTACAACACATCAATGTTGACTCCTATTCACTGGTGTCACGATTCTTTTCTGAAACTAAACGTTGCCAAAACCAAAGCTTGATATTAAAAATGGGTTTTATTCATTACAGGAAAAAACGTTCTTAAAGACATCCAGTGGAGCAGGTTCATGATGTTGCCATGACAACAAGCTGACAATCACAGAAAGCCTTTCACAATCCTGACATGCGTTTAAAATATTTTCTATTGAGCTTATGGAATTTTACAGGAAACCATCTTTTAGGTTTTCTTATCTTTGAGCCATAAAAATTTTATATTCTACTTTCTGACTTGAGTGAAAAAAATATATGGCGTCAACACAAAATACAAAACGGGTCAACATGGCAGCCACCAGTACCGGTCCTCGCCTCGCCTCACCTGGACCTGGATTGGTGCTCTTCTCCTCCACCCAGCTGTAGTAGGCCGAGCAATCCCCGTTGCTGGGCAGAGCAACGGGGACGCCCGTGATGCTGATCTCCCCATTCTGGTCGTCCCAGATCCAGCGTCCTGACAGGTAGGTGGTCCTCCGGGCCTCGGCCAGCTCGGTCACTGTGCTGGAGGTAAGCACAGGGTCACACCCCGCCATCACATCAGCTGGATCTCTGATGGGCAAACACAGAGCTCATTTCAATACCCAACACTTGTTCTGGAGCCCAGTTGAAGTATATTTGGGAGCATTCGCAGAGTTTAACCTTCTACATGAAATATGGATGAAATGCTTCAGTCAGAAAACTCGACTTCTAGAGCTTTGACTGGAGCTACGACCAACAAGACCCGTTTACCTGCACCATTCATTTACTATACCTCTTTATCATATTTGGCTCCCTCATTAGTGAACTATTTCAGTCTCTGTTCAACCTTATTTGTGTAATAAGTTCTGGTGGTGAAGGTGGTGCTGGTGTCAGAAGCTAAAAGCAGGTCACATAAACCCAAAAATGTCCTGATGCTGATAGGTTTAGTGATAAACGACACTAGACAGTGTCATCTGTCATAACTAATAAGCATAAATTAATCAGAATTATTCCTCTGCAATAATCCAAGCTGAAACAAAATACCAGTATTGAAATTTATGATGTTTGCTCACATGACAGGTTGTGGGAGTTTAGGTTCATTTGTAAAAGATCTGAAAGCTCCAGCTGGTTAAAAATCTCGTTTCTACTCAGAGGTTTACCTGTGAGCTGCAAAGAGGACGGGGCTTTCTTTTCTTTTTATTTAGCTCTCCATTAACTGTATCAACTGGAGTCTATCAGAAATGTTGCCATACAATATTTACATTTCTCTCTCCACAAAAATCACAATAAAAGTAAAAATACATATTAACAAAAACACAGAACCTCGTTTATACATTATTGATTTTGTTTTGTCATTATTACAAAGACTACAGAACTCTATGGGTTAAATTTCATAATAATTATAGATACCTAAATAATTTTCCATTAGGATGAGGAGGATACATAATGTGTTCGGTGAGCAAATATCTCTTTAAAAGAATTTTGAATTGATGTTATTTCCCTGATAATGTGACCGGGTTATGTGTTCCATGTAACCATTGATCTGTACATTACAGTTCTCTTAGCGGTGTTTATTGTACTCTAGACAGAATAAACCTACCCTCAACAGCATGCCTGGTTCATAGGTGTGCTCATCAGAAATAAAATGGAGCACCTGATATATAGTGATCCCTCGTTTATCGCGGTAGATGCGTTCCAGACCTGGCCGCGATAGGTGAAAATCCGCAAAGTAGGGACACCATATTTACAGTATTTATTTAACAGGTACGTATTCAGTATTCAGACTTTTAAAACCCTCCCTTTACATAGAAAAATTTTTTACTTGTTTTTTTTTTATAGTTTTATTACAAAAAGTGCATTTTATGATGAAATTGATGAAAAAAAAACAGGAATTTCTTGATATTTCGCATAGAAAAATACAGCGAATTGGTGAAAAATAACGCGAATAGGCGAATTTCCCTTGAATAAGGCTCCAAAGAAAAAATCCGCAAAGTCGTGAATCCGCGATAAACGAACCGCGAAGTAGCGAGGGATCACTGTATTACTCTTGGTACTTTAGTTGTAATAATGTTCCTAGTAAAGAAGAAATGATGCCTTAAATCCCTATCTTACCTTCAACCACGATAAACAACTGTGCATCCAGTTGACATTAGTTCTGTGTGAGCATCGTAGCACACGTCTAGCTGCTTTATTCTGGACAGTTTGCAGCATTTTAATATGAGACTGTGCAGCACATGACCAGACCTCTGAACAATAATCTAACTGTGAACCTTTCACCACACCGAAAGGCAGCATATGAGAAGATCTGCCCATCCTGCTGACCACTCCGTTTATGTTTTGACATTAACAGTTTACTATCAACTACCACACCCAAAACTTCTGTTTCTGTTACTTGTTCAACCATCATATCTGCCACCCTTAATTTTAGTTCAGGCTCATCCAGCAGCATCCAACTGGTTCCAGAGATGATGCACTCCCCGATCATTTCTGTGTGTTTTCTAACATCACCAGTATTATTCAGCAGGAGACCTCTGTGAGAACTGTAATGAAACGCCATCTAACCCCTGAAGTGGGCGCTGGTTTTCTGGAAGCTTTTAAAAAGATCCCTCCTATTAATTCAACTGCCCCCTGTGATCTTATTCTCAACGATTTTAACAGTACACTCAAATCTACTCTGGACTTGCTTGCCCCATCCAAAATCAAAAAACTAAAGTCAAAACGTGCATCTCCTTGGAGAAATGAAAATCTAAAGCAGCTAAAGAGAGCTTGCAGGGTGGCAGAGAGGAGATGGAGGAAAAACAAGATCACAATAAATAAGCAAATATATAATGAACAGTTAAAATTATACAATAAAGCAGTTAGAGACTCCAGAAACAATTACTTTTCCAAAATCATTACAGCAAACAGAAATAATTCTAAAGTACTTTTTTCTACAATTGCTAATATTTTAAATAGTGATTCTAATTCTTCCCAGAAAACCCCCTCAGACACTCTTTGCGAGGAGTTTGCAGCCCACTTCAGGGAGAAGGTAGACACCATGAGATGTAACATTTTATCCTTCCAAAGCAAAACTGCTTCAGATGAGTCTGAGAGTGTGTGTCTACCTGAGGAAACTGGACAGTTTAGTCTCGGTTCAAGCTGAGATAGTTTCCTCCTCAATGAGACCCACCACATGTGTCCTGGACCCTATTCCCACAAGGTTTGTTAAACAATTTTATGATTCTTTTCAAGATGATATTTTAACTCTGAAGAATTGCTCGCTTCAGACGAGGGTCTTTCCTGCTGCTTTTAAACAGGCGGTGGTGAGACCCCTGTTGAAGAAGAGCAATTTAGATTATAATGACTTAAACAACTTCCGACCGGTGTCCAACTTACCGTTTTTAAGCAAAATTTTAGAAAAGCTTGTGTTCATTCAGCTTAATGATTTTATTAACACTAATGATGTCCTAGTGAAATTTCAGTCTGGTTTTAGGGTGAACCACAGCACCGAGACGGCCCTTCTGAAGATTTAAATTATTTTAGAATTAATTACGTTGCCCGGAGGGCGAGTGTTGGTTCTACTGGATCTAAGTGCTGCCTTTGATACAGTGGGCCACACTATTCTTTTAGTACGCTTAAAACAGATCGGCCTCTCTGGTGATGCACATGGATGGTTCACTTCCTACCTCACAGACAGGAATTTTATGGCGAGTTTGGATACCTGTTCCGCTGGGGTACACAGCATCACATGTGGTGTGCCCCAGGGTTCAGTTTTAGACCCAGTAACTTTTAACCTCTATATATGCTCTCTCTTGGCGGCGTCATCAGAAGACACGGAGTGAATTTCCACAGTTACGCTGATGATGGGCTGCATGGTGGTGCAGTGGTTAGCACTGTTGCCTCGCAGCATGAAGGTTGCAGGTTCGAAACTCGGCTGCAGCCTTTCTGCGTGGAGTTGCGTGTTCTCCCCATGCATGCGTGGGTTTCCTCCGGGTACTCCGGTTTCCCCCACAGATCACAACATGCCCTATAGGTTATAAATTGTAAGTCGCTTTGGATAAAAGCGTCTGCCAAATAAATAAACATAAACATGATATACATCTCTGTGTCTCCTGATGACACACAGCCAATAGACACACTTTTTACCTGCATTTTAGACATAAATCCTGTATGGCAGAAAACTTTCTCCAGCTCAACCGGGACAAAACTGAAGTTTTAGTCATCTGTCCTGAGGCCCAGCGAGAGAAACTTATACCAAAACTACAATCAATGTCTTTTAATCCTTCCTTAAGAAACCTGGGCGTGATTTTCGACTCTGAGCTATCGCCCACATTAAAAACATCACTAAAATAGGTTTTATCATCTCAAGAACATCGCCAGAGTCTGCCCCATTCTCTCTCGGGCCAGTACGGAGACGCTGATGCATGCTTTTATCACCAGTAGGATAGACTACTGCAATGCCCTGCTTCTGGTCTTCCCAACACTTCAGGTCTACAACTTTTACAAAACTCAGCAGCTCGTGTCCTGACGAAGACCAGGAAGTGGGAGCACATCACTCCAGTTTTAGAACTGCATTGGCTCCCGTATGTTTCAGAATCGATTTTAAGATACTTTTAATGGTTTTTAAGTGTCTTAATGGTCTTGGCCCGTCTTATCCCTCACAACTGCTTTTACCATATGAACCTTCGCGGTCCCTGCACTCCTCTGGCAGCCGTCTCCTTGTCATTCCTAAAGTCAGGAGACACACTCACGGCAAGACGTCTTTTAGTTATTACAGCCCTCGCCTCTGGAACGGGCTGCCGGAGGATCTCAGGGTCGCAGAGAACGTTCATGTTTAAGATCAGACTCAAGACCCACACTTTTAGTTTAGCTTTTAACTGATTACTATTTATTGCATTGCTTGTTTTATTTATTTTTAATTACTGTTGTGTTACACATTTATGTTGTTTTATTTGTATAATCACATTACATTGGATATTTTACATGTCACATATTTTAATCCTTCCAGTGTTTCCTCTGTGGAGCCCTCTGCCTCGGGACCGGTGGTCAGTGGCGGCGGCTAGAGCGCTCCTAGGGTAGTGCCCAGGTAGTGGTGGGGGTTGCCACCCTCCCTCCCAGGGCGCCCTGGATTGGTGTCTTGGCTGCTGCTGTCGAGCCAGATGGCCCCCTTGATGGCGTGTCTTTCATTACCTGTCCAATCTGAGCTCAGCCTAGTGTTAACTGTGGTCTTTTAATGTGTTATGTGGACGAGTGTGTGTGTGTGTGTGTGTGTGTGTGTGTGTGTGTGTGTGTGTGTGTGTGTCTGGGAATGGTTTGTGGAATGGGGGTGAAACTGTCACAATTGTATTAAGTGTGGGAAAGGGAGGGAATGTGGGTTATATGGGTCATTTTAATCTGTTTAAGCACTTTGTGTTGCATCCTATGCATGAAAAGTGCAATCTAAATACAGTTTGATTTGATTTGACTTAGTCTTGGCCACATTTAAAGCAAGTCTATTACTCAATACCTATTCAACAGTCAGGACCTGTTCTTCTTCCTCTACTGATGGTTTTGACGAATAGATTGTAGTATCATCTGCATACAAAGAGAGCTTTGCATTCTTCAGGGTAAAC